AGATAAAAGAAGAAGAAAATGAGGTGCAGGTGAAGGTGTACCCCGTGGACTATATGCGGGATTTTGGCATCGGCTGGGCGGATTGGAATCCCTCGCCGCCGGATATGGGAATGGGGGTTTGGAGGGGGGTGGAGGTTAGGGGGGTATATGGGGTTGGCGTGAAGGGGTTGAGGGTTGTTGTTGGGGATGTTGATGTTGATGAGGTAGTGGGAGGTAGTGGGGGAAAGGATGTGAAGGTGAGGGTTAGGGGTGATGTGAGAAATTGGGGGGATGAGGGTGTGAAAGGGTGGTTTATGGGGAGGGTGTCTGATAATTCTACTGATGATACTAGTTCTGGAGTGCAGTTTGCTAAAGCTGTCACTCTACGAGGTGGGGAAGTTACTACACTTGAAGCAGAGGTTACTATCAAGAATCCAAAGATATGGTGGCCCGCTACCTGGGGAAAGCAGGATATGTACACCGTCTCTGCGAACTTCACCCTCCACGACGGAACATTGTCTGATCGAGCTGAGTGCTCATTCGGGATCCGGTCTGTCTCAGCTACATTCACCGACCACGGAGACGAAAAGGACGTCTCGTTCAGAGTGAACGGATACCCCTTCCACGTCCGCGGCGCAGGATACAGCCCCGACATATTCCTCCGGTTTGATATAGACCGTGTACGCACACTCCTACAAGCTGTGCTAGACATAGGACTTAACACGATCCGGCTTGAGGGAAAACTCGAACACCCACAGTTCTACGATCTAGCTGATAGAATGGGTATCATGGTGTTAGCGGGGTGGGAGTGTTGCGATAAGTGGGAGGCGTGGGAGGTATATACACCCTCCCTTTCTATACCCTTGTTTGATTGACAATATACTAATAGGAGTGGTATGGGTATGGTATAGTACAACACCGACCTCTCAAAAAACTACCCCTGGACAAACACAGACTACCTAACCGCCCAAGCAATGCTCACCCACACAGCCCTCACTCTCCAACCCCACCCCTGCATCCTCGCCTTCCTCCTCGGCTCCGACTACCCCCCCAACCCTCGTGCCTTTACCCTCTACACCACAGCCCTAAACCACTCCGACTGGACCGCCCCCATCATCTCCTCCGCTTCAGCCCGCATCCACCCCTCCGGGATGAAAATGCTCGGTCCATACGACTGGGTGTCCCCCAACTACTGGTACGGGGAGCGCCTCGGCGCAGCATACGGCTTCGGCTCAGAGCAAGGCGCGGGTGTAGGGACCCCCGAATTACCCAGTCTGCGACGGTTTCTCTCCGAGGAGGAACTAGATAGTCTGTGGAAGGAGAAGAATGCAGGGATGTACCATATGTCTCCTGCTGGATCGCAGTTCCACACAAGGGAAGTGTATAATGCTGCGCTGTGGGGAAGATTCGGCGAGCCGAAGTCCTTGGAGGAGTATGTGTTTCTGGCGCAGGTGGTGGATTATGAGGCCACTAGGGCGGAGTTTGAGGCGTTTGCGGTGAGGCAGAATAGATCTGGTGGTGCTGCTACTACTGGTGGTAATGGAGGGGGTAGGGCGGCGACGGGCGTGGTGTATTGGATGTTGAATAGTGCGTGGCCGAGTTTACATTGGCAGCTTGTGGATTATTATTTGAGGAGGGGAGGGGCGTATTATGGGGTGAAGGTTGGTGCTAGGGGGGTGCATGTTGCGGTGGATTATGAGAGTGGGGAGGTGTATGTTGTGAATCATGGGGTGAAGAGGGGGGAGGGGAGGGTGGTGGTTGTTGATGTTGTGGGGTTGGATGGGAAGAGATTGTATCATGAGGAGGTGGAGGGTGTGGTGATGGGTCCGACGATGGCGAAGAAGGTTACGTCTGTTGTTCCTTGGGTTGGGGGGTGGGATGGGGTGGTGTTTCTGAGACTAATATTGAAGGAGAGTGGGGGAAACGTGCTGAGTAGGAATGTGTATACCCTCCCTGCGCAACTTGATGTTCTGGTTTGGGATGAGTCGACGTGGTATACGACGCCTGTTAGTGAGTATGCGGATTTCTCGGCGTTGAGAGGGTTGCCTACGGTGGAGGTGGCTGTCACTGGGAAGATGGGTGGTGGTGGAGGGGTGAGTGTCACGTTGGAGAATCAGGATAAGGCGCCGGCGTGGTTTGTGAGGATCAGCATGGTGGATGAGGCTGGTGGGGAGGTGGATGTGTGGTGGGAGGATAATTATGTGAGTGTGTTGGGGGGAGAGAAGGTGGTGGTGAGTGGGAGGTTGGATAACAGTAGGAAGATGGGGATAGGGAGGATGAGGGTTGTGGTGGAGGGGGGGAATGTGCGGAAAACGGGATGCTATATCTCTTGAGTTACTTAAATCCTAGATAGTTAACAATTCTGAGTATGTTGATGAGTAGTATCCACATCTATACTGTATCAACTGTATTTAGATACAAGTCCAAATCTGACTCCCATATACCCAAACCAAGAAAGATTATGACCAGCATAATACCAACTGCATCACACTAAAACTGCTTCACCGTCTTCTGCAACCCCCCAAACCTCAACGGCTTCCTCGTATACTTGTCCGGCTCCTCTCTCGCCCCCTTCTTCCAATAGTCAAACTCCATCCACACATTCTCCTTCATCTGCTCGTCCATAGCCTCGAGGAACTCTCCCAGATCCGGACTCAACGGGATAACTCCCGTCTCAAGCACGTATTGATCCCACAACTTCAACAACACCTTCATCCTCTCTGGCTCATTCTCGGCCAAGTCGTGTATTTCTCCCGGATCGTTCCTCAGATTATACAGCTGCCAGCGCTCTGGCCCCTTCGGTTTCGGGATATAAACAATCTTCCAGTCACCGTAGCGCAGGGCCGCACGACCACAGGTCTCCCAGCCCTGGATGAAGTCCTCAGGGTGGATTCGTGCCGCGCTGCCATTGGCCCAGGGGTAGATCGATTTCCCGCGCATGGGAACGATCTCCCGTCCCTGGTATGTCGGTGCTGGGTGCTTGAGACCGGCCATATCCAGAATAGTAGGGGCGAGGTCCATGACCGTGGCGAACTGGTCTGTTATAGCACCAGCCTGGACTTGAGGAGACGTCTGTACTGAAGTAGGGAATCTAGCAAGGAAGGGAACGCGAACGCCTCCCTCCGTAGTGTATGCTTTATACAATCTGGACGGAGCGGTAGCTGCCTGCGCCCACCGCGGGCCGTACCAGATGAATGAGTTGTAGTTGCCCAGGTTCTCGAGAGAATTGTCGTAGTATTTCTGAAGATGAGGGAGGACTCCACTCTTCACCAGAGGGTATGCTTCGTAGGCTGCGCCCTCAGCACCATTGTCAGACATGAAGCAGACGAACGTATTGTCCAGCTCGTCAATGGAGGCAAGATAGTCGACGACCTTGCCGACGTTGGCGTCGATACATTCAACCATACCGGCGAAGACTTCCATCGCGGTGGAGGACATCTTCTGTTCCTCCGGAGAGAGCTCAGACCAGGGCTTGGCCTCGTCTTCCTCTGCAACCACAGGATGAGGCTCGACGCTGTCTAGGATCATGCCGAGGGCTTTGAGACGCTCGAGACGGCGTTGGCGCAGGACATCAGGACCTTCGTCGTAGACGCCACGGTAGTGATCGATGTACTCGCGGGGAGCTTGCAGGGGCCAGTGGGGCGCTGTGAAGGGGAGATAGGCGAAGAAAGGCCGGTCATCGCCGCGCTCGTGCCAGTCTTTCAGGTAATCACGCATCTTGTCGCCGTAGCCGTCGGACGAGTACCATCCGTCTGGGAGCTTCTTGACGTATTGGTCGTCTTCCGTGTGCAGGGCGATGTAACTAGCTTCGAGGAAGGTAGGGGTCTCGTCGGCGCCTTGGAGCTGGGGCTCAAAGGCGTAGTGGTTGGAGCAGGCTGGGAGGTGGGCGAGGGAGCGGTCGAAGCCGCGACGGTAGGGAGAGCGCTCTGGGGTGAGACCCAGGTGCCATTTTCCTGCCATCAGGGTGTGGTAGCCCCCGTCGCGGAGGACTTCAGGGAGAGCGACGACGCGCTCGTTGAGGTAGCCTTCGTAACCGGGCATACCGCGCTGAGGAGCGGTGCTCATACCGCCGCCCTTGGGGTCATTTTGACCAGAGATGTTGGTCCATTCAACGAGGTTACCCAGACCGGCGATGTGGTGGTCGGTGCCGGTCATGATCATGGCGCGAGTGGGGCTGTAGTTCTTTATTAGAATGTGTTGAAAGCATGATGCATGTATACGAGAAGGGGACGTACGAGCATGCTGCTGCAGCGTGAAAGTCTGTAAAGCGAACGCCCTCTTGGGCCAGACGATTGAGGTTAGGAGTGCGAATCTCTCCTCCAAAGCAACCAATGTCAGAGAAGCCCAGATCGTCGGCGACGACTACGAGGAAGTTGGGGCGTTTCGGAGCCATGATGTACGATATGGACAAAAGACTAAGATGCAAGACTCATCACTGATTAGAGGCGAGACGACAGGGGGTATTGGGGTATTTAAGTGACATCTACCCCGTACTGCCCATCGGCTCTCGGCTGAGGCACGCGGCCTCGCCATTAAGCGCAACCAGAAACCAGAATTGATGGCGGGAGAGTATCAGATGGAGAGGGGCATCACTATCCGATTGGCAAACCGCGTGAGGAGACGGTCAATCCGCAGTCAATCCGGATGTTGGAGCCAATGAGCGGATCACGCCATGATCCCCGCTTCTCACGCACTCGGCTGTCGGCTGCCTTGCCTTTTACGATTCTGGTCGGATGATCACTAAGTTGCTGTCTACTCAAGAAGTAGAGTGGCAACTGACCGGAAAAGTTTTGGGATAGAGGCAAGTTGCCCGTTTTTGAGGGTATTGCATCGCTGGTTCACGATTACTTAGCAGTGGCGGAAGAAGCACCCGCTGTAACAGTGTTATACCCTCCCTGCCATTTATACTGCCGACCCGTGATCATCAATGCTTATCGGCTATTATCTGAGCAACGGTGGTCTACGATACAGATAGTCTTAACAGATACTGGGGAATGCATAGTATCATATCATGATGTGGTCTACTCATCCCATACCACACTGCTCAATCCCGTCGACGTACCAACCACCCCCGGTTCGCCGATCTGCACATTCGCCACCTCATCCCCCAGCTTTCTAGTCTGCGGGTCCCGCGTTACAATCGCAACATTCGACGACGATTGATCGCCAATCGCAACCAAATCGCCCGCCTTGTTGATCACAAACGTCCGGGGCACCTTTCCGTACGATGAGGTGAGCTCGTTCAAGGTGACGGTGTTATTCGAAGTGTGGTCTAGATTCGCCATTGAGTCGTTGGGGGCGAAGCCTTGATCGCTCCGGATCGACACATACAACGAGTTGCCCGCTTGACGAATTTCCGATGGCGTAGCCCCGTCCGGTAGCTGGCCGTCGGTATATGGCTCGAACGACTGAAACTCGTCAAAGCCGAGACAGCCATCGGACGTGTAGGAGACCGTGAACCCTTTGAAGTGTCCGTCCAGCTCGTCGACAATATACAAGATCTGACTGTCTTGCTGCCGAGTCTTTAGTTGTCTGGTGAGTGTAGAGTGCTCCGTCTGCCAGAACAGGCCATGTCGAGGTCCACTGCCCTCTGGATAAGTCAGATCAGGGCAGGCCCCGTCCAACTCACCAGTAGACTTGTCGATGGCATAGACGCGGACGAGATCCGCTCCCAAGTCCGGCACGAGTATGAATGATCCAGTCGGGTCTAGGAGGACTTGATGAGGATGAGGCGCATTCTGCTGCGGGTTCTGTTTGGTTTCTGAGAGGGTGTAGCGGAAAACCTGGAGGTTCTCATCCCCATCATTCAAAGGGAGACGGAATGTGGACATCGCGGAGCCACCACTGCAAACATTAGACCATAATCATCAAGCCTAGGAAGACACCTACTAGTGAGCGATGGCTAGATATTGAGCACCGTCATCACCGTTATAGAAGATACTGTTCACCCCGCCCCCCGGTGCCGCAGCAGTGGCTATCTCCGTAAGGGTGCCGTCCTGGTCGGCCGCCAGAGTGGTCAGAGATCCATTGGTGGACGCATCACCAGACTCATCGGAGCAGTAAAGAATGCGCGAGGCCGAGTCGAAGGTAAGCCAGCTGGGCATCGAGCCACAAGTCTTGAGCGAGGAGGCGATGGACAGGGAGTAGGTGCCGTCGCTGTCCTGAAGGGAGAGGCTGTAGACGGAACCGTCATAGTGGGTAGCGTAGAGATTGGTTGCTGTCGCCAAAGACAGACATGTTGCCAGCCAACTGAGAGCTAATTGTCGACCCATGTTGATTTTAGGTGATGCTGTTGCATCGAGGGATGATGAGGTCAATAAATAGCCACCGCACGGGGCCAGGAATGGATCTGCATTCTGCGGGAGAATTAATCCAGGGACGGTAGGAGCGCTGCAGCTGCATGTCTACTGTCAGTAATGTACAGAAACTCTGTAGCCGAGGGTAGAAGCCTGTAGCTGAAGTACAGCATCTCCTCACTGTCTCAGTCTAGCCAGCCATTCTGTTTAGTTCACCAATCATTGTGGACAAACTGATGGAATCCCTTGCTTGGGTTTGAGACCACCTGCGCATAACTGTGCTTGTAATATATGAAGCAAGTCTTCCCATACAAAGTTAGCATACCATGACCTAACTAAGGCGAGAGAAGTAAAGAAAGTCAACAGACATCGCTTGCATACACCTTCCTGATCGGGCATCTTATCACGCCTATCGCGGGACCAAACAATGCAAACACCTGAACCCTGGATAATGAATATATTACTAAGCATACGCATCGGAAATCCGGAGATATCACGTGGCGATGTTCTCCGCGGTTCCTGGTATGTGGCTTACAAGCCAACATCGCCAGTAACTCACTCACTATACTGAGACTACACTCCAGCATGGGCTGGGTCGGGGTCGCCACACTCATTGCAACAGCATGCTTCTTGCTGTGCCGCTATCCCCCCGGAACCTGGGCTCCTGAGCCCCCGGCATCCAAACCACTCCCGAAACCCGTCAAACCCCCTGCGACAGAGGAGACACCAGTCAAAGGCGAAGCAAAGCCCCCTAACGATGAAGATGATGCTGCGAGCGACACCCAGGCCACTCCCAAGGCAGTTCCATCCAGCGCCCCTGCGCTAGAAGTACCCTCTTTTCGACTCGACGACAGCGCCGATCAATCCCGCCCCTCAGTACCGCAAATCCAGACCAGCGCTCAAACTCAAACCACGATGAAACCACCATCTCAACCCCTAACTCAGACGAAGATGGCAGACAGCACTCTTATGCCTCCCCCACCCCCACCACAGCAATCGAACCCCGCAAAGAGCTCCTCCCTTATGCCTCCTCCGGCCCCGCCGCGTCTCCGTCCGATCGCATCGCAGACTACTTCTGCGCCCTCCCTCGCACCGGGGCGATATCCCCCACGCCCGAATAATACCACGAGCTCGAGCTCATTGCGCCCACCACCCTCCGCTGCTGCTTCCCTGCGCGTCCCGCCGAGCAGCGGCCTCTCGAGCAGCACGCTCGCCCCGACGAAGGTGACCGCCAAACCATCTAGCTCTTCGAAACGAGCGGTCCTCGAACCGGGATACTCGCCGTTAGACTGGGCTGCGTTGACGTCCAACCCGAACAACAAGTTGCGGGGAGAGAACCTCCCTCCGACACTGATCCGAGTAACGCCTTCGATGCTGAAAGCACAGAACGGCCGGAAAGGCATGGACGCATGGACATCATACCAGGGGAAAGTCTACAACATCACACCGTACCTCCCCTTTCACCCCGGCGGCCGGGGAGAGCTTCTCCGCGGCGCGGGCAAAGATTCAGGGAAGTTGTTCTTCGAGATCCACCCCTGGGTGAACTGGGACGCTATACTGGGAGAATGTCTCGTGGGGATACTCGTCTCCGAGAACGATGAGTCAGATAATAAGCTAGATGCGATGGATTAATCCCTGTATACATAGACTCATGCTGTTGATCCGTGTACCTATTCTACACTTTAGAAGATGATACCCTAGACGATACAAATAGAACAGAATCGTCATATCGTTATACCATACCACCCACCAATACCCATAGAAGAATGATAAGAAAGAAAAAGGAAGAGAAGATTACAACTCATCCTTCTTAACCCCTTGAATACCCACCAACTCCGTCTCAAAGATCAACGTCGCACCGCCAGGAATCGGCCCAATACCCCGATCGCCGTATCCCAGCTCAGGCGGAATCGTCAACGTGCGCTTCTCTCCAATGCACATGTCCTGGAGACCTTGGTCCCATCTACACAGCAGACAAACCAATCAGCCCAATGTCATCCCACACATACCGAATAAAACAACCACAGCAAGAGATAAACAAAGGATAGGGATAATACATACCCCTTAATAACCCTCCCAGCCCCCAACTTAAACTTCAACGGAGTGCCGCGGTTATAACTAGCATCGAACTCGGATCCGTCCGACGCGAGCTTGCCCCGGTAGTGCATGGACACTGTATCTCCGGTTTGGGTCTTGCGGGTGCATTCGACCGGGTGGGTGACTTCGATTCCGAGGTCGGAGGCGGAGGCGAAGGTGGTGAGGGAGAGGGTGAGGAGGGTGGCGAGGGTTGGGAGGCGCATTTTGGTGGTGTTGATATATATCTGAATTGATGGATGGGTTGATTTGTTGGAGGGGTGAGAGTGGTAAATTGGGAGGAGTAATTGAATTGGGGAGATGCGGATACGTATACTTAAGTAGGTGGGAGCGGAGGAGATGCGGAGGTGGTTTGGTGGTAGTTAAGTTAGTGGTTGCCGGGCGGTTAGATAAGTAGGTAGGTTTGGTTAGATTAGCTGGGAAGGGTTGCTAGGGGTATGCCGATTTTATGTTGGTGTGGAAGAAGACGCTACCTAGTGTAATTTTCTACTTTTAAGGATTAATGTGATTGATTAATCTAACTAGCAAAAAAGAAGATAATGCTGATTGTAAAAGAAGTGACGCGCTAGGACAAAGAAAAACAAAAAAACAAAAAAGTGACTAGACTGGGGCTCGATCCCAGGACCTTATGCGTGTGAAGCATACGTGATAACCAACTACACCATCCAGCCAACTTGTTGTGATAGTTTTCTAGCAGTACTGAATTATAAATGAATAAACATGCCGCTGGCCTAAAGGATAAATTTCATTCTCTTCAACATTGCGTAATTTCCATCTACATTCCACAATAACATGTTTCAGGTGCGATGGTTTGTGAAGACTGTCATCATATACTGTCATAAATGGTATCTATATGTACAAAGAAGAAATCTATCTAATATTTTAAGCCCATTTACCCAGCAGGGCCATTAATAAAGCACCGAGACATAGTAGACCGAAAGCCGCCAGAACGATCTGGATTGGTGCCTTTCGCATCGACGTGCTGAACATGAACTCGTGGGCCAGTAGCTCCACCAGGGCCGTGTAAATAAGAATGCCGGCCGAGATCGAGTCGAAGACACCGCTGACGATCAACGTCGTGGCACCATCAGAAGCATAAGAGTCGCGCACGCCTAGACCGATCGCAATGGCAATAGGCGTGGAGATACCGTAGCCAAGACCAAGGAAATAGGGGGTCCATCGCTTGGAGTGTGGCCAAGGAACAGTAGCTAACCGAGATCCCAGACCCAGGCCTTCAAAGGTTTGGTGGAAGACAAGGACAACGTAGAGTGTCACAAATTCGGAGCCGGTGACCGCCAGGGTCAACCCAATGAAAACGGAGTGGAAGATGATTCCGAACTCCAAGATGAAGATGGAGGTCAATTGAGCCACGTACTCCTCCAGATCGGAGTGCTGCTTTCCGAGCTCGATATCATGGTGTTCGCGGGAATGACCGAGATGGTCCTCCCCCGGCATATGGGTCTTCATGTCAACCGACTCAGCAGGGGAGGAGGTAGTAGTATGCTCGATTTTCTCATGATGGTGATCATCCTCGTCGTGAGAATGGCCGTGGCCGAATCGAGCAAAGCGCATGACCATTAGCTCCACGAAGAACAGTACCACAATGGTCATTAGCACGATGCCCTCGACCCAAGAGTATTCTGTGATTGGGCCGGTAAGGCAGTCGTCGGTCAAAGCCTCTTCTGCAGGGGCAAGCAGGTGAATAAATGCGGTGGCAATGATGACACCGGAGCCAAAGTATTTGGCGATGAAGAAGGCGCACTTTGCAATCTTGGAGTCCTTGAAACTCCGGGCCATGACGGGAAAAAGAGCCCCGCATGTTGAACCGATGAGAATGACAAAGATAGACGAGATACGCAGGCCCATACGACCATCATATCCGTTGCCCGTCTCACAAGCAGGTGTTGCATCTCTGGAAACTAGACTTTGAAGAGAATCCATCTTCCACCGTTGATTGTATCCGACCGGCAGTCCTCTGCAGACCGTCTGGACCAGCTTAGAATAGCACGGGCCTGCCCGAAGAAGGTAGGGATGATCGAAACAACGTCTGACAGGTATCCGGTCCAATGGCGTGCAGGATCGTGTGACAGGAGGATAGCGGAAGTGTAGGCACGTGGAAGAAGAATGTCAACTGCAGTGATCGGTTGAGATTGCTGGAGGTTCGTCTGCAAGGTCCCCCCGCTCTTAAATTGGTTTCTCAAATGTGCGCCAAGTTGTCAGTGTGAGAGTTGGGCGTCCCCAAGGTCCCTAAGGCTGGTCCACGTCAAAGGGTCCGGCGATGAACGGCGTTGAACCGGTGCTGAGGACCTTGGTGGCACTGGTGAGGGGTTGCACAAACGCGATCGCTGAGGCGTCGATTTCGATTTGAGTTAGACAAGAAACGATCTCAGCACTTGCCAGCGCGCAGCTCACCTGGACACAAGTGAGAAGTTCAATTGAGCAACACAACACAAAGCAAGAACAGGGGTGAACGCAGAGGCGCCTCCATGATGGCAGGCGACGGAGACTTCCAGTCCGTTCTGGGTAAAGTGCGAAGTTGCATCAGATGGGGACCTTGGGGGAAAGCGGCGGGTTCACCTCAAGAGTTTTCGCTCAAAAGTGAGGACCTTGTGGACGAGGTCTTTCTTTTACTGGTCGTTGATTGGCTCCGATGAACTATAGCGGGGAATTTTGACGCAATGGTTAGCGGCCCGGAACCTTGTTGATCCGATGCTGCTCATTTCCTACACCCCGATTGGTTGTTTTGGAGCGGTCAGAAGGGCGGAGGCATTATATCTTGGCAGAAACAAAAGTGGGATGAACGCCTGCTCGATTAGGTAATGGTTATACCTTGAGTATGCATGCTGCAAACACAGGCCATACTATTGAGTAGTCTTCTATCACCAATAAAGCTGAAGCATAAATAAACTTTAGCGCACTGATCCGCCAAGGCATGCAATGACAGTCATGATCCGGCAGACACATGAGTGACCGAGATGTCAGCATCAACCAGACCCCGTGCGCGTTAAGGGATTGCCAAGTCTAAGGAATGAGTACTATATCCAAGGAGGCTGTCATACATCATGTCTATTGGAGCGGGTGCCCCTGTTTCTGGCTGTCAGGCTCCCAGGTATTCCGCTAGTGGCGGGGATGTAGTCAGGAATGGGGCGTCCAGATAACCTTAATGTGAAGCATCGTGTGACCTTGCATCGAAGCTCCACTCAGCCACGCAAATTGGGCAGTGTACTTATCAGGCTCGACTGCCCTTTTTACAGAGTTCACGCCTCGTGACATTATGCTTACATACGGAAACCATCGCTGGTTCAATGCTAACAATGGACCCAAGTTAGACGAAATATATCCCCTCTTATCGAGTCATGGCATACTTCAGGGACAGACAAAATCCCAGCAAGAGCGACTAGTTCGGAAACACTCTTTCTATCGGAACAGAAGATTTAAGTAAAAAGTAATAAACGATAGATCATAATTGATAATACGGTGCCTAATGATACTATTCGAGGGTGCCAATCCGGATCGCGATTGTTGTCACTCTCATCATCCTCTTTCTCTTCTTCTTCTTCTTCTTCCTTCCTCTTCTTCGGCTTCGTCCTCCTCGGCCTCGGCCTCGTCCCCGCTACCCCCTTGTCCACCCTGTCCCCCATTATCGGCAACTGGTTGCCATTGACCACCCGGCCTCGCGTAGACGATCCTTGCCCCCCTAGTGACCAAATGTCTTGGGCAATAATTGCCCACAGGTTGTCGCTGCCTTGGGCCCAGTCTGGTGCACCTCACGTTGGTGCCGAGTTGTGGGAGGCATTGCTTGAAGGGGCCAGGGGTTGTGCATCCGCACGAGTAGACGAGAATCTGATAGAAGCACCTTCATTATATAAGATAATGTGAGGTGGTATGGATTGATTGCTCTACTTACATCATGGGAGAGAGTAGGATGTGAGTGATTATTTCGACTGTGCTGTCTATTGGACTATGGTATGCTTAATTCTAGAAAATATTTGTGCTATGAAGTACAAGCCTTGGTGCACCTTCCTCATTTGGCTGCTCATTTACATCGTGGTTTCCTGATTTAGCAAACTTCCGTCGTCCGACTTCTTCGTCGGAAACACTTTGGGTATCGCCTCCGCGGACGTCATGAGCAGACACTGGATATTATGGAGGTATTAGTGCTGTTTTGGTCATCAACTATAATAAAACAAGCGAAAGTTTCGGACAAGCCACCTGGGACTTCCGGATTGAATACCGCCTTATGTCATAAGTGCGATACTTATGACATACGATTTTAAATAGCCCATATACAGTTTGCATTCCGGCGGAAGGCTCAGGTCTTTTCTAAGCTTGCTCTGGAAATATGAAAGCTATAAATCGTTCCTTCTACCACACAATCGACGCTAAGTCCTATCATGACAGGCCCAGCTGTCTCGTCTGCGGCTTTGTCTTTGCGAACGGGACCAGCGAGGACGATCATTACAGTTACGTGGATACGAGATACTATGTAGGAAGTAACCTCTGTCGCGCTGAGCTTCTAGAGGATTGGAGACCTTCTGAGAAGAAAAGATGGGGGAAGAAAACATGGTGGAACACTTCCCGCGCAGGTCAGCCACCCTGGTACATTTGATACCCTCAGCTGTTGACTGATTGGTCCAGTTCTATACCGCCCTGCAACAGGCACCTGCCGACTTTCTGGGGTCATCATGCATCCTCTGACAACCGGATTGATTCCAATGAACGAGACAGATGGATATATTTGCGGTAGTTGGTTGGGCTGGTTATCCCCCAAAGAACGACAAGCTTTCGTACTTCCGGACATTCTATGCCCAACCCAGGAGCCGGAGCCCGACGTTGAGTGGGTGGCTTACTTTGTTCACTCTCGCTGCTGGGAGCTACTTACTCACCACGACTTGGGGACGATTGCGGAGAAGGATTTGGGCATAGTTCTCGACGCTCTCCGAGACAGACATAAGACTCTCCGAGGCAGACGTAACAAAACTGGTTACCAACCTAGATCCTGGTATTGGATGTTGTGTCGGGAAGGTTAGGGTCCCCCCAGGTCCGACATTCGATGACGCTGACCTTGAATCTCTACCAGATCCTGTTCGTACAAAATGCGTTACAGGAGCCATTTGTCTAGCACTAAAACACGAAAAGCGAAGGAAATTGATGATGAAACGAAAGGGCCATTTGGTCACCCGAAAGGCACCACGTCCCAGACCCTGCGTTCTTCCGATGGAAATACTTTATATGATTCTTAGATATCTTCCATATCAGACGATTGCGAACGTGGAAAAAGGATTGCGCCTCAATCTCGGTAATAGGTTTTGGCGCACTTGGCTCTCTAGCCGAATATTCTACGAAGTGAGGGATATTGCCATCGACGAGGTTAATTGGAAGCGCCTATCCATGTTGCTGGAACGACGACTCAAGAAGTCAAACGCTTTGGCCATCCGACGGTTTTTATTAGCCTCTCTGGATAATGTTATGAGGTTTGTTAACATGTAACTTGATGGGAAGGCCATCTATTACGATTTTGAATAATGAATAATAATAAATAATGCGTCTGATAATACTATTCAAGGATGAAAGTCTGGGTCGCTCTTATTGTTATTCTCATCTTCATCTTCATCATCTTTATTTCCATCATCTATTCGCTTTCTTCTTCTTCTTTCCCTCACCCTTATCATCTTCTTCTTTGGCTTCATCCTCCTCGGCCTCGCTCCCGTCCCTCCATGGTGCAGGACCAGACCCTGCGAGTCGATCGAGTCCATTATCAGTTCGGCGATAGCGGTGAGATCATGAGCGTCGGTGTGGAGAGGGCCATCGAATCCGTAGCTTTTCATGTCCGCTTCGAACCAGTCTTAGGGGTGGAGGGCCTCTGCATATCCATGGTCATCATTAGAGCAGTTCCGTCGTGTATGAGAGGTTGCTGGAGAGACGATAAGTTAAACAACTCGAAAACCCCATGTCGCAGTAAAATGCTCACAGCCTGTCGGTTTTTGAAAAGCCCAAGCCAAATCAATTGGCGAGTAAGGCAACGAATGTGCAATAACAGAAACAGAAACAGAAATTGATACCTCCATGACAGCCACGCGTATGCTCGTGACGTCCGTGACGTCCGCGGAGGCGATGCCCAGAGTGCTTCCAACGAAGAGGCCGGACGACAGAAGGGTGCTAAATCTGAAAAGCATGATGTATGAAGTGAGGAGCCAATTGAGAAAGGTGCAATAAGGCTCGCATTTTCTGTAGAACTGAGCGTACTGTAACTAACTACTAGGTAGCACAATCAGACCAAACTATCTCTTAACATACACTCTTGAAATATGAAGTGAAGCAATAGATTCATAACACCATATACTTTTATCTGTTGAGGCATTCACTCCAGCCAGGGTCAGCTGATCCTTCGCTTCTTCCTCCTGCGTGGTCTTCCAGCACCTTTTCCAACCACCAACCATCTTCTTGGGATCCAGATAGCTCAGATTCATACCTTTGACCCTTCATCTTGTCATTATATATGATAAAGGTGCTTCTATCAGATCTTTGTCTATTCATGCGGATGTACTACCCCTGATCCCTTCAAGCAATGCCCCCCTCCCCCCCCACAACTCTGCACCAACGTGAGGTGCACCAGATTGGGTCCAAGGCAGCGACAACCTGTGGGCAATTACTGTCCAAGACATCTGGTCACTAGGGGGGCAAGGATCGTCTACGCGGGACCGGATGGTCAATGGCAACCAGTTGCGGGTGATTTCAGTATGGGAGACGCCCCTGATGGCTGTGGACAAGTCCCACGTACCGTTCCCGAGGATATTCGTACAATCCTCATCGACTTCATCACGAAGGAATACATTGGGAGAATACCACGATCCAGACCGATACCGCAGTCGATAGTGACCTCCGGGAGGAGACCTCCAATGAACTACGGGCGACAGGTGTTGTCACATAACTTCTCGATGGATCATCCAAGACGGTTGATGCGACGAAGGAAATTGTTGTCTCGGGCGCCGCGTACTGCAGTTCCGCCATTATGATGCGTGGATCCCGCGAGGAGCTGGTCCAATTTAACATTGACGGCAAGATTGACCTGCCTGGACTGGGTAGGAGCCTGACGGACTATCTGGTTAGCTCCACCCTTGAATATTAGCTCTATATTGCCTCTGACCTGCATGCAGATCATTTTTACGTTCTACGAGTTCGAAAAGGAAGGCCAGACAAACTACTGGCATCCTACCACAAAAGCAACAGGGCCAAGGCCTACATGCAGTGAAAGGAGCAGACGTTCGGCTTGTTGTCAACATCCCTCTTCTGCTGTTTCGCATTTGCACTCATGGACGTGTGGTCGAAGGCCGACCCCAATAAGAAACGACCCGAGACAGCTTGGATGGGACTCTATGAAGCTTACACCACCCAGCCCAAAGTCGAATCTTCACGATCGAGTCTCAAGACGGCCCCAAGCTGTATTAAGGTTATTCTATTGGCCATATTTTGTATATAGTTACCTATCTATGCCTAACATTATTAGGGAAAAGTTATTTATTTCCGATGTCATCTATAACCAATCCCTTGACTGAAAATGAACATAGCCCGCGAAGCCCAACATCAATCAAAGCACGCATTTTCTCAACTCAAACAACCTCAAACTCCGCACTACTAGGCCCCGCCCCATTACAAGCCGTCAAATCCATCGGACAAGCACTCATAAACACAACACACTCCTGCTCCGCCCTCAAAACCACATAATCCCCCACCTTACTGTCCGGCTCCAAAACCCTCAACTTATTCCCAGTAATATCGACCTTCATGAACAAATTCAGCGGATCAGGGGTCCATCCACTCTCAAGAAACCCCAAAACATGGCTGAACGCTTGCTCAGCACACTGCTGCACAGCATCGCGAAGATTCTGGGCACAGTTGTCGTGGTCCGCGGTACCTCCAAGTTCGAGATATCGTTCTGGAGAGCAAGCTGCGTAGAGAACGTCGTGTGTGCCCCGGGATGTGTCCTCGGTGATGGTCAAGATAGGGTTTCGGTTGTTGTCGACGAAGGATTCGTTGATTGAGGGAAGGAGCTTTTGTAGGGTGGGTCGGGTGTGGGCCATGGACATGTATCTGGGGACCGTGTTGGGTGTGGAGGGGATCGTGAAGGCCCAGGTGTCGATCACTTGGCTGCCGGAGGTGTTTATGATTTTGATTGATTGGCCGGGGTGGAGTCGTTGGAAGGCGAAGCTTCGGGCTGGGATGGTGGGCATTTTTGTAGAGACTTTTTGGAGGATGGGTATGGTTGGGTTGACTTTTGGAGTTCCTGAGCCTGAGTCCTATATCCACGAAGGTCTATGCGTACTGATTGATAAATGAAGGTTCAAGCAACTACATACACGGGACAAGTGCTGGTGTTATATGCTCAACCCCTTGAGTTGCATTGATAAGCTGCGTGTCTCCAGAAGAAGATAAGGTGACGTCATTTCTCCGCGAATCACTCACATTTTGGGCTGTCAGGCAGTACAACATTTCCTCTTCTGAAAGTCGCATAACCCTTGTATCTTTTCGAGATTTCTTCGCTTCATTTTAGATGTGGTGTAGCTAGCTAGCTATTTAGTTAGTCTGGTGGAGCTTCCAGAATAAATGTGGATCGTGTAGATTCCCCATCCTCATTAACCTAATCTAACCTACTTTGTATACATCCAAACCAAACTAACCATCCGATCTCCGGGGTACTATACTCACAGACACATCACTAACTGCGGCACCTACGACGCTGACATGCATGAATCCCCGCTTACCCCTCCCCCTCCCCCAACCCCAACTTGCATACCAGACAACGCATCACCGTAACCCCAACTCCCCCTCCAACCCTCCACCCACCACCACAACAATGCCCACCAAAACCCTCGTCATCATCGGCATAACCGGCAATCAAGGGTACTCCATCGCCACGCGGTTCCTCCACGACCCAACCTACCACATAATCGGGCTCACCCGGAACCCAACCTCCCCGACCGCCCAATCCCTCTCAGCGCAAGGCATCACCATCCTCGCCGCCGATCTCAACGACCCCAGCACACTCATCCCGGCCTTCCGCGGCGCGAACCTCATCTTCAGCGTAACCAACTACTGGGAGCCATTCTTCCGCGAAGACTGTCGAAAAAAGGCAGCGGAGCGGGGGATCTCATGTCGACGGTACGCGTACGAGGTGGAGTTACAGCAGGGGAAGAATATCGCGGATGCGGCTGCCGCTACGGTGGATTCGCTGGATGAGAATGGGTTTGTGGTGTCGACGTTGAGTTATGCGGCGGAGTGTAGTGGGGGCCGGTTTGGGGAGTTGTATCATTTTGATGCTAAGGCGGAGGTGTTTCCAAATTATGTGAGGGAGAGGTATCCCGCGTTGGCGGGGAAGATGTCGTGTGTGCAGACGGGGTTTTTTATGACGAGTTATAGGTTGGTTCCTGGGGCTTATTTTACGAAGGTGAGTGGGTAATTTTTGGTTATGGGCTGTGGGTATGGGGTTGTTGCTGATGTGTGTGTGCTTTGGATGGATTAGAAGATGCTGGATGATGGGGAGGAGTTGTTTGAGATGACTTTTACGACGGCGCCTGATGCAAAGGTTCCGCATTTGGATGTGAATGTTGATTTGGGGAACTTTGTTTATGCGGTGTCGAAGATGCCCCCTGGGAAGAGTTATATGGCTTGTGGGTCGTATTGTAGCTGGGCGGAGTATATGAGGGTTTGGGGGAGGGTCAATTCGGTCCCCGCAAGTTATCGGCAGATTACTCTTGAGGAGATGATGGAGAAGACTCCCGATCCGGAGTTTGGGCGTGAGGTAGGTGATATGTTTTCTTATTCGACAGATCCAGGGTATGATGGCGGCGATAAGGAACTGCTGACTGCAGAAGACATACGCAATGTGAGTGTGTTGAGAGGATATGGTATATAATCCATGGCTAATATCTACAGGCCGGGATCGAGTGTCCAATGACCAGTTTGGAGGAATGGATAGAAAAGGAGGATTGGTCGGCTGTCTTGAATAGTTGATAGGTTCTGATGTATACATGTAGCTGACCAAGAAACTCTGCATCACGACCGAGGTTCGGCCAATATAACATGAGCGGCCTTACCAGACTGTGGACGTCTTGTTGACTCTTGTACTTGAGTAGACAGAGACTGCGCCACTGCATTTTGAAATTCCTCTTTGATAAGTGCAGCGAGGCTCACTTGCACGTCATTGACCAAGCCAGCGCGGATTGAATCAAGCTGGTCCGATAGGCTTGACTGCACATTGGCATGGACAGTACCTTGGACTTGCTTAGCAATCTCTGCCAGTGCGTCGCCCCCGAGGCTGGTCTCTCTGGACATTCCAGCCAATGTCAGGTCCTTCCAGCAAGCGGAGTCAATATCGCTCATACGTGGAATGCGGATTGTGCTCAGGTGCTTGACGGTACGTTGAAGTACGATAGAATCATGGTCCCACTTCTTAATCGTGGCAAGACGCATCACAGCGGAGTAAACTTCGAATGTGAGGTCTTCCACCTTGGCTCTGGTGTGATGTGGTATTTCGCGGTTGTCGCATATGAGTCTGTGATACTGTGTGCACTTGCTGCCGAACTGAATCAGGTCCTTGACATGGGACAGCAGATCAACTGTCGCCAGATAATCAGGCCTTAGACCAGCACGTTGTGGCCCAGATTCCGATTCGGGTAGTGTCTCATCGTCAAGTCTTCCGCGCTGCACATCAAGGTCCATTGCAATCAGATCACTGATGTCTGAAGGACTCAGCCCTTTTGTTGCATTCTTCGGCAACCCAACAACGAACGCTTGAGGCGACTCGTTGACAGAGGACTTCTGTGGCGATGATGAATCCTCGACGAGGCTTCTCATACATCCTGAAACCAATGTTCCTATGTTCTTTTTTGACTTAGTCAATGAAAGAAACGGAGATAGGAATTTTCACCTACCTCAATAATGTGGTTGATCCCAGCCCAGAGCAATGCTTTATACAGAAAGTCCTCACTTTCTAGTTCGTGTTTGTCCATGCGCATCCCACTTATGTACCTCTTGATGTCTTCCAATTGTTCAACAAATGGGACAGAGAATTGGTATGCTGCAGTCAGACTTGCCTGACAATTCTCCAGATTCCAGAAACAGGGCAACCGTCTCCACTTGTCCAATGCGGTAGCTAGTAGCCTCTGGCGCTGCGAAAGCTCCTTTGTAATGGACTTCTGTGGCAGAAACAACTTTCTATAGGCTGAAACGGTATCACTGTCAGTCTTCTCCATTCTTCTGTATGCTGTAGTCCAGGACTTGTGGGTTTGGGCTTTGTCTTTTGCGCCGCTACCCTTGAGAGCGGCGATAATACCCTTGGCGAGAGGCTTTGCGTTCCACGCAGCCTGGAGCGCTGTTCCAAATCTACCGACAACCTTATTTGGACTGGCACCCTGTTCAAGCAGCATCTTCACTGTTGATTCATGGCCAGCTGCTGATGCTGCCACAAGAGCAGTCCCAAAGAATCCAGCTATATGGTCGACTGCAATTCCCCGGGAATAGTTACTTGCTTTTCCTCCACCTGAAAGTAGCAGGCTGATAATGGAGTTGTATCCGTTGTATGCTGCCACATGGAGAGGGTTGCCCAAAATCCCATCTTCAGTTCCTGTTATTTTTGCTTTGGCGTTGAGTAGCATTTCAACGATCGAATCATGACCTTGAGCGGAAGCCACATATAGTGCGGTTCCATGGGGACCTTTCTCGGCGTTCACATCGACATGTTTCAACAAGTCCGCAACAATCTGCTTATAGCCACGATAAACTGCCACTTGCAGTATTGTCTCCCCGTCAGAATTGCGTGCGCTCAAATGCTTGGGATCAGTTTGAATCAAGCCCTCGACGACCGGCCTGAGATTGAGTTTAAGCGCATAGTGAATTCTTGAGGCATGCCTCTGGCGTTTACTGTCGGTTTTCGTCCCACTTTTGTCCATTATAGATTCACCCGCATCAAGGCAGTCCAGCCACTCATCGAATCTTTCAGACTGGAATAGTCCACGAATTCTCTCTTGAAGCATAGCACGTTCACTGGCCATGCCGTTTGCTTTCTCGAATAATTGGTAATGTTGAAACCAGTATTCGGCAGCATAGCTCCGTAGCCTCAGTTCGAAACGGCTTTTATTGGCCGTGTCTCCCGCTCCCAATGGCAGCATTAGAATATCAAGACAGCGTTGGGTAATCTCGAAGTGAGCTTGCTCCTCGGAACATAGAAATTGCGATATAGGACTGTCCTGACCTATACGAACTTGGGTCTCCAAATACTCTTTCGCCGAAAAGTGGGCGAACCGAAGGACTTTATCGCACTTCTTGCTCTTGTGGTTAATGATCAATGTTTGCATGGACTGGGTCACCCATTGGCCTGTACATATTTCATAAACTGCATCACTGTCGTGAAGGCCAACTGCAGAGGCAATCTCATCTTGAGTGAGCGGTCGCAGCTGCCTCAGGAGCCATATAAACATTGCCCTTAAAAACTTCCTGTCGACTTCGCTCACAGAACTCAGATGTTTCTCGTAAATGGCTACCATGCTGGTCGGAACTTCGTTCAGCTTTGCCTCAATTTTCTTGGGGTCCTTTCGACACTCGCGTATTTCCTGAACCAATGATGTAGCCCAGAGAAAGTTCCTACCATATGTTAGCCATAGTAATGAGTATGCATAGCGGTCGGCGGGCACTGTACTTTTTAGCCCCCTCTATAAGCCGTGTCTGAATACGAGCCTTTAGGTAAATAGGGAGGTCGCTTATGCCATCACCATGCCGCATAGTAGTGTCAATGTAATTGCGAATGTCAGCTTCGAGTCCTTCCGCTACGTCAATCTCCACCAGGATGTCTTTCAGATGTCCTCGAAGACATTGTCGTATATCATCTTCATTCTTGCTGACAAGGAGAATGTGAAGGTTCGAAATCCCTGACTGAGCCAGTCGCTTTATGAGTTCGAGCAATTTGTGACGTTCTCGGTCTTCTGACTCTTTCGGAACTTCGTCGAGGCCATCTAGTATTATAAAGACGTCCTTCTGTAGCTCAAGCACTGATAGGATGCTATGCAGATATTCGATGAGTGTCTTGGTGTCAGGATAGCGTGCGAGCTTCCGGTCTTCTACCAAGGCACTGGAAATGTCTTCTGGGAAGCCCCCAAGGCTACTTCCCAACTGTCGTAGGACAAACCGCAATAACAGGTCGATGCGCGTCGTGTCTGTCTCATCGAAACGAAAGTACCACCGCAATAGTACCCGGTTTCTGTCTTTCTTGAACAGCGTTTCAAGTTGGTTGACGATGGTTGAACTGTAGAGAATTAGCCGGCTTAGAAGTAACCAGAGGGCACAAGGCGGGCGGTTCGCATACCATAAGGACGATTTTCCACATCCAGCTAGTTATTCTGTTAGTGTATGGAATTCTGTTTCTGGATATTGTTCCATACATTCACCATACAGCCAAAGCAAGGATTGTGGAGTGTCCACCCAAGTTTTGTATTCTTGACGCTCAAGCAACCACCTCCCCGCTACTTCAGTCTCATCGCTGGATACAATGGCAGACCTTAGCTTCTTGTGCTTGCCATCGCTGGCCGCAGCTATATCACTGGGGAACAGCCATTCAAGTAGCTGCGTCTGAATTTCCCCTTCATAAATCTCAGCCTCTGGGTCTTGCTACCGGAAACGACACTGTAACGTACCTGAAAGGGTCTTATCGATCTTCGCAATGCCCTTCATGATCATTGATGTACTCTTGGAAACATCTCCTAGAATTTTCTGGACCTCCTTGACTCGCTTCATCTCCTCTTCTTGGGCTGGTAGCATGTCAGCACGGCGTGCAACTTCCATGGTATCTACAGAATTCCACTTACTTTCAAACATGAATTGCTGCTGCTCAGCCATTATTTGCCGAAACCACTTTTCCACCATCTCGTCGCTTCCCTGAATGGCACTTTGCAAGTCCTTCAGCGGCTCCTGGGTAAGTGATTTAAAACTCTGGATAATCCGGTCTAGTCAAGATAATCAGTATTGACAACGTTCATGGGGCAGGTACATCCTTGATACCTAATCTCTTCGATGTAACTGCCTGCTTCACTTTTGCAGAATATTGTAGTACACATATGTACACATTGACGATGGCATCCCCTAATTCGGTCGCATTGGATACTTGGACTCGGTGATAAAGAGCCTCGATACGAGAGTATCGAGCCAGGAGTACGGCAAGGTACTCCGAGGCTTCCCAAATGCGCTGCATCCTTTCCTGGTTGTTTTGGATAAGCTGCAAAAGTCAATCATATGTCCATCCTGTAAGAAACTAAGTCAATGATCACAGACCGTCAGACCAAAGGAAACCACCGCCCATGCAATAGACGCATAGCCTGTCGGATCAAATTTAACGACCACATCGCCCAACGCCTGAACGGTCATGACCGATTTCAAGATAGAACTTGCACGATCATATGCGTTTCCCTTCGTTTTTGACGGCCATCGCTCCTGATGAATGCGTAGTTTGCTTTTAGTCAGATTCATAACACCTTCTACGTACTCTTTGGGCAGCTTTCCCATCCGATTTATGTTCCTATCTTGCCACTTTTGAGTCAGACGCTTCCTATTCGCGTCGCCCACATCGACGGACATCCACGCCTCTTCCCATAGGTTCCGCTTAGGCTCGACCACGGCAGATTTTGGCTTCGCTGCTGCCACGCCATTGGACTTTGCCTGTACTGGCTTCGGCTTTGTAGGTTTCGAAGATGGCGTTTTCTTGGCCTTGGTGGTTGTGGCCGGCTTGGCCTTTACCTTCACCGGTGATGGTTTCTTAGGCGGGTGTGAAGTGTCATCTTGTGGTTTGACCATTTGGCTTATTGGAGAAGGGTTGGTTTGGTATTCTGAAATAGTTGATGTGTGATGACAAGGGAAGAATATTGGCAAATGAAGCTGTCATGATGGAAGATCGCGTCCTTGTGGGAGATTTGTACCCCGCGCGAGGCTCTGCAGAGGTCAAGCTGATGGGGCTGATACTATTTCATAGTGGGAAGAGCTAATGATGGTGCAGGATGAGGGGACAGAAACAAGTATCTTGATTGGAGGATTCGTATGCGTTGTCAGCTAGCTAGCCAGAAGAATACGAGGCGCCCGCTTGGCTTGGCCCTGCAGTGATACCTGCATGCTGTGGGTCACACGAAAGAAATGTGTTTGTGGGAAGTCGAGTGCAGAACGACTGTCACGCGGATTAATGATGGGAGGAGTATGGGGAGCCTATAATGATGCCTGGATATTACGGCAGGCAAGAAAGCGGCTCTAACCGCTAACCTTATTCTTGAAATATGCAGGAAAATAATACGGGTCTTGCCTGAACTGAAATTCTTGAGACCGTTGGGAGCTCAGCGAACTTAAGTTCATTGCAGTCAAATAGGTTATCCTTCCAATGATAAGTTGTAGTTATGTTTATTTTCAAAATGAAAGTAACACTCGAGATACGCAACCATCATTCCAAGATGATATGACAGCTTCATTCCCCTCAGATACTTCCCCACATCAAAGATCCTCATTTCTTGAGAAACTCAAATGTGGGTTTTGACGCAGTGATCCTACTGTGCCTCTACATACCACGGGAAGACAACATCCATATTCTCATAAAACTCCTCAGCCACTGCTCCCTCCAAGCCCCAGGCGGAGATCACCTCCATCCCAGGCCGATATCCCCACTGCGTATTGATCCTCAAATGGGCAATCCTGGCGCTCTTATCCCGACTGAAATCTATTGACTCATTACTTTCTTCTCCCGTACGATAATTAAGAAGTGAGAGCCCCATGATTTGTAGTCGCGGCATTCGCTGCGCTGCCTTACCCATGTCCCGATAGAGAATACCAAGGTCGGCACTTCTGATGTATTCCCGCCGGTCAGAATACCTGTCCTTTGGCTGAGGGTTTGCCAGCGACTCCCGAACTGCAGCTTCACGGGTTAGTGGAGGATCAAGGCCAAGTAATGGGGACCCTGTCCTTGTGTTAGTCACAAGAGATGATTGAAATATACGTAACTCAAAAGGCAGCATATGAAAAGGCAATCTGGAAGTTGAATCAAGCCCAGCAACACTTACCATCTTCGTTGTATGGAGGCACATTGAGTACTAGAAGCCGTTCGAGTTTCGGCCAGTAAGGAGCATTGGGACTGTTTTCCGCCGATGGCCAAAAAAGAGCCTTGCTAATCCGGATATGACTCAAAGTGAGTGACTGTAGCCGCATACTCAGGTTATGAAGTCGGGTGGACAGATAATCCATCCCACTAAGCCCCACATAGGTCAGTCGATGGTTGCGAAGTTCGTCGTTATGTAAAAAAGGAGACCATTCTCGGTCGGGCATAACGGAAAGCTCAAGGCTCTCCACAGAACTTGGTACACAACGAATGAAGTCGATCATTTCTAAATTAAAAGCACGCCGGTTAGCCCGTATCAATGCTTGAAGACCATGAAAGGAAATAAGAGCATACCTTGTCTTAACAAGTGACGAATATCACCTACAGAAGGACCCATCCATATAAAATCTTGCAGTAATACATGCTTCACATTGGGGAGACGTTCAAAGATCAATCCAAATGATGATAACAAGACAGCATTTAACCATGTCCCCGTTACTCCAATCGACGTGACGCATACTGGACTAGGTAAGGGTTCCAGGTGCTTTGCTTTCAGGCAGGATGGAAGTGCTTTTCGATGCTTGAACAGGATATCCCTTAAGGATGATGTGTACTCTGAATATCTGGGGGTGAAGGTTCCACAATGTGGATTGTGGTCGCTGAATACCAGTTCGAGCCCTGGATGCTGCTCTCCCCAATTGTGCAACTCCAGAAACAAGAAGCCGAGCGCTTTGTGGTACTCTTGATCATACCATTCATATAGATACTCATTGGTGTTTGCCCGATACATAAAATCAGTCACCTTTGGTAAGACAAAATATGGTTGCCAAAGGATATGTCGAATATAATTTACCCTGGCACGTCGCCTGTCATTGCCTGTAGTGCACCTGGAAAGGTTCAACACGCTTAAGTGCCCTCTAATGCATAACCTCTTCCAAATAATTGGCTCCACAATCCCCTGCCATTGACGAGAAATAACAGAGTATTTGGCTAGGCTTTGTGAACGCCAAGCCGGTGGCACATCGTAATAAGTGACTCCGGGAACACGTTTTGGACGATGTTTGTTCGCAGAGGTATCTTCAAGCAGAAAATTAAAGATGAGGCTGATTATCTCGCTGGGAAGAAAGCTCATAATTCTGAGTTGGCGGTGGTGTTGAAGTGGTTTCTGACCTTGCTGACGTCGTGCTGGGATAATTCTCTGGGTAGATCAACAAAAGCCTTACATATAGAGAATCGTAACTTGCGCACACTTGAAGTAAAACCTTCTTCATGGGAGAGAATGCAAGAATGAGATGTTATTATATACGCTATCTGGTATCGTGACGGCTTCCATCACACTATGATAGTTGGATCTAGTATCACTTATGTCAGTCTCGTTGTCCCTGGGGAATATAGGTAGCTTCCACATTACCCAAAAATTTCATACGTAAATGGAATGCACCACCTGTTTATTCCTTTTAGTACCAGAAATGGGCTTTTGAAACATAACTATGAGAAATCTATCTAGCCATATTTAGTTCATATAATGTAGATATCTGAACTTTCCCTTTGAAATGGCAAGATTGGTTGACATTGAAAGCGAAGGAAACCGGGATATCCATTGACTTACCCCCTGCCGACTTAGTGGTGCTCACCCCTCTGAAATTCCCGCAGTTACTATTGACTGCTGCATTGTATATCTATGTTTCGCTGGGACATCGGAGGAGCCCTTTAATGGACCACTTAGCTCACGTAAGACAGGGTCGCTAGTTAATTTATCGTTTCATTTACTACTTACAGTAAAGCCACTGTTTATCTTATATCATACATAACCAAAAAAAGATAGTATACTATAACGCTCCACCCACCTTCTCGACAATCCACATCGCCAACCTAACCCTCCAACTCACCCTCCTCTCCGTTCTCCTCAAATCCTCCCGCGAAATGGCCTTCGCATCCTCCTGCAACCGCTCTGTCTCAGCGCCCAACTTGCGCTTTAGCTCCGCATCGCCCGTGACGACGAGCGCCCCCACCTCCAGATCCAGACTATAGCTGCGCTTCGTGTAGTTACTACTACCCACGAAGGTCAGACTGGGGTGTTCCTCCTTGGGGAGGGTGATCCAGAGGCCCTTGGCATGGTAGGTCCAGCCACCGGGCTGGCCGACGGTGCCGCGGCGCCATTCTTTCAGCTGGATGGAGTTGGTGCGCTGAGCGTCGGCGACGCGGTCGAGGAACCGCGCGGACAGGTGCGTGTATGCGGCCGGCAGCATGCCGGAGATACCTGGGGAGCCGTAGAAGCCGTTGGCCCATGGGGAGGCGGTTAGGACGGTGCCCCTGGTGGTGGAGTCGGTATGGGAGGCGGAGGTGCTGGCGATGAGGAGGGAGGAGAGGACGGGGTGGATGTTGAAGTAGCCAGCTGTGAAGAGCCAGCGGGCGCCGGAGAAGGCGGGCGAGGTGGATAGGAGACGGAGGATGGAGGTCACGGCGGGGAATTCAGTCGAGGTGTCGTTGGGTTTGAAGAGAGAGGTGAATTGCGCGACGGGGTAGATGTAGGTTTGGTCGGGGGATTTGGGGGGCAGGGTGGACTGCTTTGGTGAGGGCTGGATGAGCGGGTTCAGGACGGTGGATGAGTAGGCGATGAAGTCCTCGGGTTGGTCGAGAGGTGAAGGCGCGCCGTTCGATACGGGCCAGTTGAGGAGGTAGCCAGCGGCGTTTTGAGAGTCGGGGAGGACTTGGAAGCTGAGACTGCATACTGCATTGTGGATGCCGGCGTAGTAGTCGGTCAGTTCCTTGGAGTGGAAGACATGATACCGGTCTATGCGGCTCGTGAAGTATTCGCTAGAGAGATTGGCTCTGGGTTGCTGTCAGTGTCTATATAGTAATCCTGGAGCGTCGCACATACCCTGACAGGATGATCTCCTCGTCAAAGCCGTACAGCTTCATGTGCTGAAGACCCCAGCCCTCGTTGATCCGACGAGGCACCCATTTCTTCTTCAACCCGGTCAGGTTGGGGGTGTGGAACATGCGAATATCCACTCTATCCGCACCGTATTTCTCAACCAGAGTAGCCAGCAGCGATGCACATGAAGGGTTGGGAGTTTCGCGCGTTCCTCGTAGAGCATCCGTGAGGATGGAGACCTTGAGCTCGGGGTTGGCCCCGAGAGCCTGGTCCAACGTGTTGATCAGGTCATGTTCCGTCTTGCCGATGTATAACGTTGAGAGGTAGATACGCTTGCGAGCCTTTTTTATTTTGTCCTATATTTTGGCACATGGTAGGATTAGTCGCAATCCATGACACTAAAGTCCGAGATATCCCCGTACCTTGAGCGTGTTGTAGAAGTTAGCCGGGGAGTCTAGAATCGTGATCCGCGACGCCGGCACCTCGAAGCAAGGCGAGATCCGATCCAACTCGGTCGTGATACTCCCTAACGGCGACGCAACAGAGGACGCAGGCGAGCTGGAGCTGGCATGGCAGGTGTTGGCCGAGAATTTGCGCTCGTATAGTAGGACTCTGCGGGCAGCTGGTCTGCGCGCAGCACATCGCAGGGTGTTACCCCCAATTCGTCCGAACATGATACCTCCCTAGTAGCTGAGCGCGTAGTAGCAGAAGACCCACAAGGAATCAAATGTAATTGCTGGAGTGCTATTGGAGAAAGTCGAGAAATATTGAGATCGAAGGACGAGCGGATGCTGCAAACCCGACAAACAACGATCCGCGCTAGACCGGATCGGGGCGGCTTCGACCTCCGGGCGGAAAGCGAGCGACGCAAGAGTCGAAGTCGAACCCGACCTGTTCTCAGTTCTAGCCATTGCTGCCCCTTTCGCTGCTCTGCACACAAGATGTCGACCATTCTTCGGACGCTGCGCAATCTGAGACGGATTGGTTTCAAGGTGAGATCTTTTACGGTTCTTCCGGGGGCATCACGGACGAGTTGCTAACTGTATCCCCTCACAGGAATATGGCCACCAAATGCAGGTATGCTGTCGAATGCTGGGAATGAAGAAGCTTGTGAAGGAGTGAAATGGATACTGACGAGACGTGCTATTTGCTGCAATAGTATATTGGTGAGTGGATTGCTGGCAGGTGGTTATGGTAGTTAGACTAACGCCATGCGATTCTAGGTGATACCAAGGCCGGTACCTTGATCGGTGTTGACCGCTACGGCAACAAGTACTTCGAGAACATGGAGGAGGAGCTTCCTCGTGGGTGATGCTGACTCTGGGTAAATGATTGTTGCTGACCATGCGCAGTCCGTACCCGCTGGGTCGACTACAAGGAGAAGGAATACGACCCCTCGCAGCTTGAGCCTGGCTGGTGAGATTCTCGCAATTGATTGCCAGATGTGACGTGCTAACTTTGCTAGGCACGCCTGGATCTCTTACATGGTGGATGCTCCCCCCACTGCCGACAAGATCATGCAGACCGGTGTCCGCAGCTGGGAGCTGCCTGAGCACAGGCCCAACCTGACCCTCAGCCGTGCTGCTTTCAAGACCTACTCTACGTGAGTTTCCTCTTGATTGCCAGTATTAAAAATCGAAAGCTAACAAGTGCAGTACCCGCCCCAAGTACTCCGCTTGGACTCCCGTTGCGGCACCCCGGTAGATGTTGGTAGAGCGTTGGCCTAGAAATCAGACCATGTTCGAAGATGTGTAAATAAATAAAGATGTCCTACTTTCCGTTTGAACTATCGCGATTGTCACAATTAGTATCCCCATTGACCTGCCAGTTCTATACAGTAGTCCGTAGTCTAATTATGCACATGAGGATATCACCGAGGTATCACAGCAACCAAATGCCAAATCAAATGCCACAAAACAGCTCCCTTGACGATGTAGATACAATAATCAGAGAACGTATATACCGGAGCCGATGTTGGACCAGTGCCGAATGGGGCGTCGGTCTTCAAGCTCGACACACCACCACAGAACATCTCTCAACTTTTGGATCTGACTTTCCGCCTCGTACGCGCGGGAGAGTGCATACCACGCCTCGGAGTTGTCCCACGCACTGCCACGCTTGGTCAACCCGGACAACAGCCCAAAGGCACGTTCGCGGGCCGCGATGCGGTTTAGGAGTCGAGGCTCTTCGTCGTCTGAATCCGGGACGGTCTTAGCCTGCGGCTTTTGCGCTTGACTCGACCGCTTCGCGTCGTCTTCGGATGATGGTTTGCTAGATTTGCTCGGGAACAGCGACAGCGTCGATACGCCGGCATCAAGCCGGGGCTTGGGAGGCTGCAAAGGCATTTTCTCTTCCCAGACGTCGAGGAGCAGATTTGACAAACCAATAATTGCCTTCGGATGATCCGCATAATGGAGAAGCGCTGTCTCGAAGTGCTCCATCGCTTCATGCGGGCGAGTCTGGTCGATGGACTGGAGACCGCGCTCGGCATAAACGTCTGCCCATAGTTCATCAGTGCTCTTGGGGACGCCCCATCCACGCTCCCTAAACGCTCTAGCGGATGTCTCTTGTGACGCCACAAGAGCTTCGAAGCGCGTTACCTGTTTGGCTGCTTCCTCGCATGCCTCGTGAGCATCCTCGAAAGATGATGCCCGACGATAGAGCCCAGCAATAAGCAGCCAAACCTTGACGAGGATGCACAGGCCATGCTTTTGGGCCTGAGTAGGTGGGACCTTGGTCACCGCCCTGGTGGGAGTGTCGAAGGCGTACGATGTAGGAAGTCGGATATCCTGCTCCGGTGGCTGCTTGGAATGCCCGGCCGGAGCGGGTGGTTGGTTGTGCTTCATATTGTGAGCCATAGGTCCCAATGGCTGCTTTGCGCTCTGGGGCTGGGCCGCTGCGTCCGACACGGCTAGTCCAACCATGTCTGGAACAGGGTTACTAGCGTCAGGCCCAGCCTGAGTCTCGCTATCGCCGTTGACATGGCTTGAGTTAGTAGCATCTGCCTTTCTCAAGGTATTGCTCCTTTTACGGGCCTGACGTGAGTCTGTGCCCTCATTAAGCCCCGACTTCTCCCCATCGGTAACTTGTATTGCCGGGGCCGAATCTGTCAAGGCCGAGTTGTCTGTCTTGGGCTCTTGTCCGAAATCTGCCCTCCTTTCAGGAGCGCGGGGTCCCTTGTGCCGTCCAAAGATGCTGCCGCGGAGGCTCTTCACAGTCCCAGCAGAGCTTTTCGGGGGAACAAGGTGCTCGTGCTCATGCTCAGCCTTGGTATTTGGCTTCTCGTTATCTTCTAGGTTCAGAGAGTGGAAAAGTGTGGCGAATAGACTAAGGAGCTGGTCGCTATGGTTAACAGCAGCTCCCGGACCCTCGACGAGTTCAACAAACGCCAACTGGGTCATCCTGGTCTCAATAATACGCTCCTTCTCGCGGACTCGTAGCTTCTCGATAAGCTCATGAGTGATGCCCGCGATCTGGTCTTGAGAAGTGTGATTCTGCTTTTGCGGTCGTCTGTCGCTATGGGCGAGGGACGTCACCGTAGCAGGGAACTGCTCAAATGCGGCTTCACACGAGCGTTCGGCAATGTCGAAGTCCTGCTTCGCGCTGAGAAGAAGAGCAAGCAGATGCCACAGGGGCACCAGATCTCTTTCCCGAGCAAAATCGGCTTGACCTGTTTTGTGCTGTGCATCGGATGTCAACGCCGACTTGACGTAGTCGATGGCACCATCTAGATCACGGTTCTCTGCTAGAAGAACAGCCAGGGTATATAAAGAGGAGCAGTTTGACTCGTCTTCAAGCTCCGGGGCCAGGCTTCTCTCCAGGTAGTCAATAGCTTCTGCCCGGATGTCGTCGCGATCTTCGTTCACGGGAGTCCAATAAGCCCAATTAGCAAGCCCGATACCGATTCCTCTGTAAGCTGCAGCGATGTCGGATGGGGGGACTGCCTGGGAGCGGGTAGAGCTAGTTTCAGGCACAATGAGAACCATGCCTTGGTCTTCATCATCCTGTACATGCTTCTCGGTAAACTCTTTCAGAAGAGATGTGAGATCCTTTGCTTTCTCGGCCTCTTTTTCCGAGCCGAAGCAACTCAGCATCGTAACACCCTCCGACACGGTGCGCAAAAGGATCCCGTCATTTTCCAGGTCTCCCGACTCAGCTCCTTTTGCCGCCCGCTCTTTGGCACTTGTGACAATTTCGATATATGAATCGAGCGCCCTCAGAGCGAGGTCATAGTCCGCGAGTGCACAATGCACGTGGAACAGACGCCTCAAAATCAAGTGTGAGTGGTATGTCTTGGTAGCAGCGCGGTAAAGAATCTATGACTATCAGCAAGTTGCTTTCCATCGTCAGTCCCTCAACTTGGAACTTACATCAAGGACATTCCTGCCGACGGCATTCTGGCCACCCTCTCCAAGCTCTTCGTCTGACCAACCGGCACCGCATAGCACCTCCCAGTTCTGAATGACTTGTTCGACCCAAGCCTCAACTTCCGGGTTGCTCGAATCAGCCGTAGGGAATTTCGTCTCGCGCAGAATGCTAGCTTCACAAAGCCCCTCAACGCGTCGGATTTCACTGGCGAGCTGCGGGCGTTCAGGTCCATTTGCAGGAGGGCAATACGGCAGGCCCTGTTGCAAGATACTTGATAGCAGATTGTAGTACGATTTCCAGGTCGGTGATTTCGAAATAGGCTCGGTAGTGCCGTCCATAAGCATGCCTTGAGGCAAGGTCATTTGCTTGACTGAAGGATGAGATGCCCACAGTCTGAAGAAACCTAGCGTCGTGGCTATCGTTTGAGCATTAGCAGCGGCAAGGTCTCTGCTGGCTTCCTCGCATGCCAGGGAGGCGCCTTGGCCCAGTAGTTTCTCAGACCAGTAGAGAAATTGGGCGCTGTTTGTAGGGGATTGGAGCTGACTGTTCACCCATGGCGTAAGCGAATGAAGGGTCTCCAGGGCGCCTTCGGGGTCGGAGGTCATGCGCTGTGCAGAACCTATCATAGATTAGCAGGTGCACATCCTCAAATCTTCACTGTGGAGCAAACGCACCCTTGAGATAGCACGCCTTGACAAGGCATGTCTTGGTCCATGGCGAGAGCTCTTCCCCTGCCTGCTCGAGCTCACTCACGGCCTCTACAAAATCTTGAGGAAACCGGGCAGCTGCCAAGCCTAGCTCATTGACAGTCCAATGTACCCATCCCAAGCAGACCTGCGCCTGGAAAACTTCTTGCTTCGATCCTTCTGCCCGGTTGACGGTGGATAGGAGTGATGGAATCAGGTCATGGAGACCGGCGGCGGAGGAAGGGCGGGGGGTGGAGGGATGCTTTTGAAGGTGTGAGGCCAGCTGGTATTCAGCGCTGGCTACTTCGAGGAGACCTGTGGCATCCCCATTAGTCCATCTGCTGGCTGGCCAGTATTTCCGGGGAAAGGCAAGTTGGCATTACATGTTCTCTGCGGAGCATGTTTGGTGACTTTCCGAATCAACTCCGGAACTTCTTCCCATTTATTCTGGCAACGCGCATTGTCCAGGGCCGTAACATAGCGATGCCCTTTATCAGAGTCTCGACCCTGTATGAGTGGTGATCGGTGCCTCGGTCAGCGGAAGGGCATGTGGTGGCAGATTGAGGGGGAAGCTTTCACAAGGTAGCCCATTGAGACGTTCCCAGGGGGGAAAGTGAGAAGCCACCACTTACAGTCATGATTGCGAAAGGTCAGACAGAGACGGAGGGATCAAAGATTACAATCTGAGGGAAGAGAAAGAAGCAGCGTCCATAACAGGGACGAATGCCCACTCGAGGCAGCAGAGAAACAAGATAATATGGCTCCGTTGACGGCGGAGACCATCTTAAGGGGAGACCCGCCGTAACGTACGTAATGTCTCGTATTATTGCCCGAGGCTTCATGTGGTCCGAGCGTCAAAGCCAAAAATTTCCAGAAAATTGGATGTTTGGAGCATCGCTCAATCTTGCGCCAATCTCGTCAATTGCTTCGCCGCGGTCGCTTGTGCAATTCCGCCCTCGTGAAGATGGCCTACATGTCCATGTCCCTCCATGCCGTCAACCACCGGTTGACCAACGTGCCTGTCAAGCAACTACCGCATCTCGCATCATGCCTCGCATCCTCCATCAGCAATTGCGGGGAGTTGCTGTCAACTCCCCAAAGCCAAAAATCGGGCAAGACGGACTCGGACAATGCCGTTCAGATTCATAAGCTCATTACTCGCTTGGGAAGTCTGCTGCAGGACCGCACGTATGAAGGTCGCTGGACCGCGGTGGTGCTTGTGAAGGCGCTTGTTGAGGCTGGCCAGTGGGAGATTCTACGTTCGAGCGAACCGTTTGTTCGGGGGCTGATCAGCATTTTGGCTGTAAGATGCTCAGTGGAAGATATGCTGCATGATAGTTGCTTACTGAATGGCTGCGCATAGAAATCCGACCCCGTCTCTACGAAGAAAATGTGCATCATCACCTTGACTCGCATCTTCCACCTGACCTACCAATATCCGACCCTCGTTCGCGAGATCACCACTCCGGCTCTACCAGGCTTCATCACCTCTGCGCTGAACCTGATCTCTGTCAAGCCATCTTCTGAGCCCGTCCGGAGACTCAAGCCGAACACGCCCTTCGTCGAAGTTGTCCTCCAAGCTGTCAATGAGCTGATCGCAAGACACCCGACTATCTTCCGTCCGTTCACCGCGCAAATCCACAGTCTCCTCCAGGTCATCATCGGATCCACATCGCCCACGTTCCCGGAACATGTCTTGGAAATTGCTCAGCAGCTGTTCATCTCCCTCCACAACTGCGCACCGAAGAACACCGGCGGCGATGAATGGAAGAGCGCCTGTCGCATGACCATTACCTCCGTGCACGCGGCGTCTTCTTACGTTCTGAGGGCTGTCGTGGAACAGTGGGAATCCGTCGACCCGTCCCTGCGACAGATGTCGCAACCGCAGAATTACAGCCAGGAAGTGGGCAACGGCCCTGACGCTCTGGGACTTGAGGGCTGGCAGGGTCTGAATTCCGGTGTCAACCGGTTGGTTGTGCTTTTGCGCATGCTTTCTGGCTTCGTCGGCACCGCTACGGCTTCTACCGTGACCATTCCGGTGGGAGCGATCCTGGATCTGACATCCCGACTGAACATGGTGGTGTATCCCTCCGGTAGCAGCGACATCCAAGCCAACCCCCAGATTGGCCGCGCGGAGCGCGAGCAGTTGCTCACCGAACTTCCTCGCATCCACGTCGCGTGCATGAAGCTCCTCCTTGATCTGGTCAACGCCCTCGAAAACAGCGCCATTCCCGTCGCACAAACCATTCTGGAGCAGGCGCTGTGGGTTTTCCGCGCGGAGCAGTTCAGCCGGGACGTCCGCACCGCCGTATACGATCTAGTCTGCGCCTTGCTCACCCGCATCGGTCCCTCCATGACCAAGCAGAGCGTGTCTTCTATGGCCTTCATCATCCGCAAATGCTGCCACGACCTTCTCCCTCCCACCGGCAACCAGAACGCCGCTACCGAGAAGCCCGACTCCAAGTCGAAGAACAAGTCCAGCAGTCAAGCCACCGTCAACGCCGACTCCTTCCTGAACCCCGGCCTGAAACAAGTCCGCCAGACCAGCTCCTCCTCGTCCTTCCCCGACCTCACACGCGCTGCTTCCGAGCTCCTCGCCGCCACGCTGACGCACACACCATCCGAATTCATGTCCCCGGCCCTCCGCGCCGAAGTCGACCGCACCCTCATCCTGACCTCAGACAAGAACGCCATGCTGGCCAGCGTCCTCAACCCTTTCCCCGCCATGCAGGGCCGTGGCGTCGGTACCAGCATCCTCCCCTTCCTGGCGCGCAGCCACCCCGCCGAAACAGAAGTGGAATGCCTCATCCGCCCGCGCATGCCCGTGGTGATGACCGGCTTGACAGCCAACGGCTACGTGCCCGTGGAAGACGACGACGATGAAGATGAAGACGAGGCAATCACCGCAGTCCCCGCATCTACATCAACCGGGTTCCTCAAGCCCACCCCCACACCCACCCTGCAACACGACGACATGATGGACGTGGAGAAGGATATTCCCTCGCCACCAAGCAAGCGCAGCTACGCCGATGAAGTCGAACAGCCTGCGGCACCAACAATCGCGACGACAAGTCCCGCCTCACAGAGCAAAAAGGCCCGGTTCGAACCAAAGGCCGCTGCTGTAACTCAGCCTCCTCTGGACGCAGCATCCCCGGCGACTTTCACCGGCACGGCCGCTATCTCTGTCCCTACGTCGTCCATTGCCGGACCGGCTCCGGTGCAGACGCCGAAGCCGGCTCAGTCTTCTATTGCGAAGCCATCTGCTGCTGCCGCCGCGGCCGGGGCAGATGATGAGAGTGATGATGAGATGCCCTCTTTGAATGTCGACCCGGATACGGAGGATGAGGATGAGGATGAGGAGTAGATGAAAACTAAGGGGTGTATGCATGTACTATATACGAGAGAAAAGTTAAAAGTGTAGCGATTATTCGAAGGTTCAACAAGCACGATTTCCTGGGAAGTAGTAACCACTTGTTACACTCACCCTTATGGAGGTAGTAAACTGAGTCCAAGGTCAGACTTAAGATACCGTTATCATGTAGTTTATCATAACCAACAAATTGTTTCCGCTTCATACTGCATGTACACATTTCCCAGACAAGATAGTAACCTAAAACAGAATCCAAACCATATCCAAGCTCTATATAGACATATACTCTTCCCATCTAAGCTCTATTCTAACTCTACATAAAGATATATAGTGTATATACCAACCAACTCATCAAGATAGACAATCATATAACCCATCAATAAATCCTCACCCCCCTATCCCAAAATCCTCCCCCTCCATCCCACCTCCCAAACCACTTCCCACTCCACCACCACCACCCCTGATCCCCATCATGCACACCAATCCCCAAACCCCTCAACAAACTCACCGGCAACGGCTCCGTAAGCCACAACCCACCCCTTGAGAAATCCTCCACCAAGGGCCCCGCCGTCCCAAACAACCAGGTCACCGCAAACAGAGCATTACAAGCCCGTCTTACCGGCCGCGGCATCCACAACCATAACGGAGAAATCAACCCTTGAACGAGAACCCCTACCGCCTGGAGAATGAAGAAGCGGAAGGGACCCGCAAGAGGATGGGTCTCGCGGTTCTGGACGTAGCTGCCGGAGGCGTGGACGAGGCCGCTGAGAGAGAAGGCGACGAAAGCAGTGAGTGTACGGCGGACTGGGCGGGAAGATGATAGACGGGAGGGGAGGAGAGAGAGGAGCCAGTGGGCCGCGGAGACGAAGCCGTAGCGGAAGAGCTGGTGCCACCAGAGGCTCCAGCAGCCGGCGAGACTGTGGTCGAGGATCGGGGTGAGGAAGGGCCCGAAGGCTGGGGGGTAGAGGTAGGGAGCGGAGAGGGGGACCGAGGTGAGGGATTTGGCGGCGTTGGGGAAGGCGAGGGAGAGGCCGCCGAAGATGAGGGGGTTTAGGCATGTCACGTAGTTGAGGGCGGCGAAGACGCCGGTGGCTGTTACTAGACAGCGGTAGATGTGGATGAGGAGGGGGTAGGGCGTTAGGTGGTGGAAGGGGAAGGGGGGTGGTGCGGGAGGAGATACGCTGCCCATGAAGTATTGGTCGCGGATCATGAGGAGTTTGATTAGGTCGAGGAGGAGGTAGGATTGGAGGAAGAGGGTGAGTGTGGTGCGGAAACGAGCGCGCATGGTGATGGGCTCTGGAGGAGTAGTTGCGTTTGCTTTTTCTTCATGATGCTCTGAGGTGTTGTTGAGCTGTGCCTGGACTGAGGCTGGTAAGGCGCCCATGGAGGAGATGCGCCAGTTCCATTCGGGCCCGCGCATGCTGGTGGCCACGCTTGTGACCCAGTTGATACGGTGAGAGAGATTCCACGGGTATGGCTGCCATATGACAGATTCAGTGCTGCTGTTGTTGGTGGTGTCTATGCCTTTTGTTTCTTTGGCATGACCGTTGGCCGCATCACCATTTGGGACAGCTGCGATAGATGATAATGGGCGGCGCTCCAGGCGTTTGAAGTCGCGCTCAACATTGCGGAAGAGAAGAATCGTCGCGGCCCAGATGGTGCTCCATACGGGAATAAGACCGGCCATGTAGCCATTACCTCCCGTGAGCATGCGTCGATGCTGGAGAACATTGCCAGTGATGCCTATGACGCACGCCAGCACCAGGGGACGAACATAGCGACCACCTTTGTGATGTGGGACAAGGAGCGCTAGAATGGACAGCACAAGTGGTAGTATCAGATGCCATAAGAGCACGGGCTTCACTTGGCCATTTTGGATGAGGGACTCGAACTGAGCTTCATTGTCGTGGATGAGGCGGCGGTATGAAAAAGGTGATTGAGAGGCGGCCATCCTTCCGATGGCCGGATCTAGGGATAAGACTAGAAAAGAGAGAAGTAAAATAAAACGAGATAAAACTATAGAATAATATTAGGTGGACTATGAAGAAACCATGAAGCCCAGATTAGTTAGGATACTCCATCGGGTGGCGACGAAGTCATCGCGATGCTGCAAGGCAAGGGATCGCCACGCTGACCGCGGGCCGGTCCTGGCCGCGTTTGCTTTTTCCTTTTGAGTTGTTCATTTGTTGAGTGTCAGAAAAAGGCCCTCACATCTAACATA